TATGTTAGACACTGGCTTCCTTATTAATTAGGGTTAGGTTTGGCTGCCCATACTGGAAATAAGTATATAGCAGCGGATTTAATACGACAGAAGTTTATTCCTCCTTCTGTAAGTGCTGTTTGGAGGAAGCAGTCAAGGGTTGGTGCTGTCCCCTAGAGATGGTGGCTTCATGGTGCCATCTGTGCCCCAGGCTCTTGAGTTTCTGCTTCATTATCCTAGTGCATGACCTCTACTCTTAAGATCATTTCATGGGCCAAGATGACTCCTGGAGCTCCAGCCATCAACTATAGGCTGGGAAAAGGAGGCGGGAGAAGTTTGTCTCAACCAAGTTATGTTCCTCTAAGTAGGCTTCTTAGAAATCCCAGTCAGTTAATCCCAGTTAAGGGCATGGTGCCCAATAAGACCGCTTTCACTTCAGATGCCAGCTACAAGTTCTGGGGTCCCCTGGCCACCTGCACTTCTGACCAACTGGCTGAAAATTTGGGTGTTCCTGTGACCCCTTAAGGTTCTATAATTTGCTAGAATGACACAGAACTCAGGAAACACTATACTTAGGATTATAGTTTAATTATAAGGGATATAAATCAGGGCCAGTCAAGTGGAGAGGTCAAGGGCAAGTGCTGGGAGGGTCCTGAACGCAGAGCTTCCATGCCTTCTCCCTGTGGTGTCAGGGTGTATACCCTCCTGGCACATCAATGTATTCAACAACCAGGAAGCTTTTCTGGGCTTGGATGTCCAGAGTTTTTATCAGAGTTTCATTATACAGGCATGATTGATTGAATCATTGGCCTTATGATTGAACTCAATCTCCAACTCCCTCAAAGCTCCAAACCTCTAATCACATGGTTGGTCTTTCTGGTGACCAGCCACCATCCTGAGTCATCACTTTAGCATAAAATTAGATGTGATCTAAGGGACTCATGAATAATAAAGACACTCTTACAGCTTGGGAGATTTCAAGGGTTTTAGATGTTGCCTCCCAGGAATCCAATACAAAGACAAGAGGAATTTTTTTAAATCATACAACATTTCCCCTACTCTAGAAGCTCCTGCTATGTGCCAGGCATTGTGCTAGGCTATTCCTTCCTTCCTTCCATCCATTCATCTATCTATCCATCCATCCATCCATCCATCCATCCACACATACATCCGTTATTTAAATGTTTATAATTTTCTGCAAGAAACAGAAAAGCCAGTCAAAAGGATTTTAAAATAGAAGATAAATTTACTCACAAAACTAGAAATCCAAGGGAAAGCAGTTGCTTCTTTGGTTCAGATGCTGGACAATGTTTGCAGACACCTAGGCCCTCTCTGTCTTTGTGCCCTAATTACCATGTTTATTTTTGTTTCAAATGAATGTTTTATTTTAGAATATTTACAGATAAAAATTAGAAGCTGGTGCAGAGAGTTTCCTAATATCCCATACACTGTTTCCTCAATTATTAACATCTTACATTAATATGGTATTTTTTTTTTGCAATTAATGAACCAATGTGATATGTTAGTACGAACTGAAGTGTATACTTCATTCAAATTTGCTTAGTTTTTACCTAATATCCCTTTTCTGTTCTAGGATCCCATCCAGAATGCCAGATTACATTCAGTCCTCATTTCTCCTTAGGCTCCTCTTGGCTGTGACAATTTTTCAGCTTTTCTTACTTTTTATGACCTTGACAGTTACAAGGAGTACAAAGACCAGACAAATTACTGGCCAGGTATTTTGTAGAATGTCCTTCGATTGGTATTCATCTAATGTTTTTCTCATTATTAGTCTGGGATTACAGGCTTTGGGAGGAAGACAACAGAGATAAACCACCAAACCATGTTGATTTTGTCTTCATATTTTCACTTCATTATCAGAGGTAGCTGCTGTGAGCACTCCAGATTCAGGGCTACATTCAAAGATGGAAAGAGGCAGAAAAATGGAGAGAAGAGCCATGTCTGTCCCCTTCTTTTCTTTATTATTTTTCTGAGACAGGCTCTCGCTCTGTTGCCCAGGCTGGAGTGCAGTGGCCAAAGTGCTGGGATTATAGGATGAGCCAGCGGGCCTGGCCTGTCTGTTTTTAAAAAATCAGCAAGGTCACCCCTCCTGCTGACAGGCTCAGAAGGCAGGGAACAGGATGCTCATACTTGTTTTAGGCCTTGATTGGGACTGAGCACATTGTCATCAGAATAAAATCAGGCTTCTATGAATATAGAAGGATGTAGGCCAATGGAGGGAAGGCCAACAACTGTCGTGTCTGCCCCAAGTGTTTATTCTGTATGAGACTGCACTGTACTGGGTGCTATGAAAGGACATAAGAGATGGAGCATTCTATTACATTTTTCCAGAAATTATACATTCTGATAAATATTCTCATTTGAAGGCATTATTGTAGAAGGATGGAGTCATCCCACTGAATCTTTGGTTACTCAATCAAATCCATCCTTAGAAGATAAACATTGATCATATGTCACATGTGCTATCAACTGTAAAAACCAGTTCTAAAGAGTTATTCCTGTCTGGGTGCAGTGGCTCATGCCTGTAATCCCAGCACTTCGTGAGGCTGAGGTGGGACGATCCCTTGAGGCCAGGAGTTTGAACCTAGCCTGAGCAACATGGTGAGACCTTGTCTGTACAAAAAAATACGAAAAATTAGCTGGGTGGAGTGGCGTGCACCTGCAGTCTCAGCTGTTCAGGAGCCTGAGGCAGGAGGATTGCCCAGGAGTTCAAAGTGATAGTGAGCGATGATTGCGTCACTGCACTTCAGCCTGGGTGACAGAGCAAGACCCACTTCCTAGAGAAACAAACAAATAAACAAGCAAACGGTCATTCCTAAAGCAATGAAGCAATGATACATTTCGAGAATAAGCATTTAGTCAGCTGCCCCAAAGTGACAAGTTGGAGACTGTTACCCTTTCCTAGATGTCTATGATTAAAAAAAAAAAATCAAATCTGTCATATTATAGTCACATCTTAACAACACCTTGCCCTTGACATGTTTATGACCTAGATGAGGAAACTAACAGAGGTGGATGGAGAGCAAACAGCGCAAGACTGTTTAGTATGGTGGTAGGTTATGTACTACAGGCAACACATTCTGTGGGAGTTTATTTATTTATGAGACAGAGTCTCACTCTGTCGCCCAGGCTGGAGTGTAATAACCTGATCTCACTGCAACCTTCTGAGGGGGTTTAGAGCAGACAAACATCAGAGAAGGCAGGCATCACAGAAGAACTGTGGAGAGGTGGGGCCCAATGTGGCTGTGAAGGATGGTCTGGCTGTCCTTCATTTCCCTCCTCCCCTGCCTTGAGACCTGGATTCCTCTAATATAGCTGTTTATTCTCTCTTTATTAAGCACCTAGTTACTTATTTTCATTAATTCTCAGTTTATCTGTTAAGGTCTTGTGATTTTTACTTTGTAATCTTAATTAAATAACTTTAAAAAAATTTTAGGAGAAAAATTGCTCAGGCCGGAGTGCAGTGGCTATTCACAAGTGTGATCATAGCACACTACTGCCTCAAACTACTGCACTCAAGCAATTCTCCTGTCTCTGCCTCCAAAGTAGCTGGTACTACAGTTGCATGCCACCAACCTGGCTAAATTACTTTTTTGCACAGTGTTTTATATGGTAGTCTTTGCAGCCACATAGATCAATATTTGAATTCACGCTCTAGTACTTAACTGGCTTTGTGGTCTTGTGGAAATTTCTTACTCTCTCTCATTCTATTTCTTATTTAATAACAATCCCAACCAGGCTGTTGTGAGACTGTAATAAGATGAAGCAAGGGGACACAGATCATAGTGTACCCCCAAAGAAAGTGCTCGTTAATGGCATCTACTGTGATAATCACCATATCAATGACAGAGGCAATGGTGATGTTAATACAAACTCATGGAAAGGGATGGCCAGGAAGAAACACCTACTTGGTTTTCACCATTTTATCACTGTTAAGTTTACATGAATGTCTGCTCACCAAAAGTCAGTTTCATTTCCCTTGACATTTTAATAATCTTTAAGTTAGAAACAGCGAAGATGGACTCACGTACTCAGGGAGCTTCTATTCTATCATCTGGGAAGGCACCAACCTTGTGACTCAAACTGTTGAGCAGAGATCAGGCAATATTCCACATGAGACACTGGCACAAGCACAAGAGATCTTGGAACATCTGCAATTAGTTTGACAGTTTATTAGGGCTTGGAAACCAATCTAAAGAAAGTTATGCTTTAAATCAATGATAGTTGTCAATGAGCCTGTGAACGAATCCTTGCTAGGGTCCTTAGGCTTCTACTGCAACTCATACTGCTAGCAACAAAAAGAGAAGCCTCCCAAGCAGAAAGTCAATCTAATTCAATCAATTAAGGCAGAATTATGGTATCAAATTTCCACATCACTGAATGACCATGGGTTTAGAGGTGTGTACCATAAAATAACTGTGGGTGTTAGACATTTAACAAGTTGTTTTATTCCTAATTGCTGGCATTTGCTTGTTTTCTTAATTCTAATTTATGTTTTTAAGTTCTAGTTTGTTTACATAGGCCATAGTTCCCAATTGCCTTTATTTAAATGTTTATTTAATTTTATTTACTTTTTTTTCTTTTTTTGAGGTGGAGTCTTGCTTTCACCCAGGCTGGAGGGCAGTGGAGTGATCTCAGCTGGCTGCAACCTCGGACTCTGGGGTTCAAGTGATTCTCCTGCCTCAGCCTCCCGAATAGCTGGAATTACAGGTGCCACCACCAAGCCTAGCTATTTTTTTTTTTTTGTATTTTTTAGTAGAGATGGGGTTTCACCATGTTGGCCAGGCTAGTCTCAAACTCCTGACCTAATGATCCACCCCCCTAGGCCTCCAAAAGTGCTGGGATTACAGGCGTGAGCCATTGTGCCTGGCCTATTTATGTTTATATATCTTGCTTTGCTTACTTAACTCATTGTTTGGAGTGGGCTAGAAATAACCACAAATCCCCATTGCTAATTAGCCTCATCCTCATGACTGATTAGTTAAGATTATGAGCCTAGAAGGAGGGCAGAGAGAAGTCCTAGTAATGAGTCACAGGATCACTGAATTTTAGAGCTGGGCGGAATCTTAGAGTTTAAGGCATGTTTCAGTTAGAATTCTGTGGTTTTGCATCTTCAGCGTTGGAGAATTACGAAAGGTTGACCGCTTGCTCTTGCTCCTTTTGGAAAAAATGCCTAAGGATTTGGTGACAGCTTTGAAAAACAAATTAAGAATAAAGAAAAAACCCAAACAGTGACGACTATGAGTAACCCATAATGGGGGCTTGAAAGAATTGGAAACTTGACACATCAATGGGCTATAGAAGAGCAGGGAATATTAATGAACATGAAGGGGGTTCTTCTTTGGAGGTAAGTAAGCAGAGTGGATTTTTTGGAACTCCCTCCTCAGCAGCTGTGCAGTTTGTAAGGATTTTAGCTTGCCTAACTGTAAGCTTAGCTATTAGCTTTGCAGTGGGGAGTATTTAAAAGTACACACAACATATGAAGGAAAGAACCTGGAACCGAGTAGCCTACTTCATTCCAAGAATCCATCTGGCATTTAAAGAACTGCTTGTCCTACATTAAACCCTGCAGAGTAAGAGCCATTTTTCATATCCTCATACCCCTATTTTTGGTTTCAGGTAAGACAGCTTACTGAGTTTGGGGAATGAACAAGGAGATCTTTCCGAACCACGGTACCAAAGGACTCATTTTGGGCTCCATGAATCTAAAATAGGGAACACGTTGAAGCCTGTTTGGGAAATCATTTTAAGAGCAATCTCAAGTCTCCACAAGACGCGGAGGTCCATATTTCAAAATAACATGAGCCTTCAGTTATTTGTAGACAGAATACAATGGAAGAAGAGGTGTTATAGATACGAAAAATCGTGGCTGGATTCACCAACAACAAATGACTCATGGTGATGGGGTAAGTTGACAAGTGAAATCCTATCTCTTCCTAAAAAACGTATCGTTGTAAAGAAGAGCTCGTTTTTGCAGCTTCAGTTCGTTTGGAGGCATCGAATAGCAAACGCTGCCAAAGGAGTAGTCCCTGGATTACCAGGAGTTGCAGAGTGTGTAAAGTGTTGTAAACCTTGAAATTAGTCCTGGACTGCAGGCATTTTCCCTTCTAGACTCGCTTCCCTATGACACATTTCCCCTTTCAAGGGAGTCTATGGCACTCAGGTCCACTCAGCTCAGACCTCAAACACGCGGGACCAGGGGCTCCCACCTTAACTGGTCACTCCTTGAAGGACAGCACAAGGCCCGGGTGCTGGCGCTAACATTGAGCGGCGCCCTCTCGGTTACCATGGCGACCGCGGGTGGGGCGGGGCCCCCACTCGCCGCTTCCCCACCTCTGCCCAGGACCTTTGGAAAGCTCCAATTGGGACGACCCTTTCTTGCCTCTGTCCCGCCCCGTTCGGCTCCGAGCGCTTTGCGATTGGCCCGGGACGAGCGGCCTGGTACCCAGAGGGCAACACCTCCTCACGGGAAGAGCGGGAAAGTGCACCAGGCGCTCTCCGAGGCGTGAAGCTCACGAGTGCGGCGGGGGAGTACACAGTTGGCTTTGGAGCAAGTTGTCCTCTGTCCCATACACAAGCCCCGGCGCCCATGAATGCCAACAGCAGGGAGTAGGCGTTGGGGTGCGGGCACAGCGTTTGTAGGCCGGCCAGGTCCATCTCCGGGGGCGAGGACGCGACGAGGCTGGAGCGAGAATCAGGCGGCGCACTCCGGAGCGCGGGGCAACGGAGGCCAGAGGGGACGGGCCGGGCCCCGGGGGCGGTGCCGGCGGCGGCGGCGGGAGGCGCAGGGCCCAATGAGCGCGCGCGCCGCCCTGGGGGCGGGGCCTGAGGAGCGCTCCCCCGCCCTCACCGGCCCCCGCCCCTCCCCCCGGCGCGGGGCCGCAGTGAGTGAGTGGCACTGGCAGCCTGTCAATCCCTCGGCCCAGCGGCCTTCCAGCCTGGTCCGCGGCGGCTGCTGGCTGGGTGCGCGGCTCCGGCGGCGGCGGCGGCGACTTCTCCCGCCCCTTCCATCCGCTGTCCACTCGACGCGTGGCCCGCCGGGGCCCTCCTCCGGGCTCCGCGCCCCCGCCGCCTCTGCCCGCCCGCTCCCAAACTTTCCTCCTCCGCCCCCTTCGCTCCCCGCGGCCCGCCCGCAGGCCTCCTTCTCCGCCGCCGCCGCCGCCCGCCGCCGCCGCTGCCTCCCCCGGGGCCGCCGGGGCTCGGATCCCGCCCGGCCGAGGCGGCGGCGGCGGGCAAGGAGGGCAGGGCGCCGGCTGGCGCGGGGGGTGGCGGGCGTCCCGGCAACTCGGCCGGCGCTGAGGAGCAAGTTGCGCGGGGCCGCCCGGCGGGGCGCGCGGCGGCGAGGAGGCGGCGCGGCGGCCGCGTGAGGGCAGCGGGCGCCTCCGCCTCCGCCTCCGCCACCGCCGCGGAGCCCGGCGCTTCCGCCCGCCGCTTCTCCTCAGCCTCGGCGGCGGCGGAAGCCGGCCGGGCGCCGGTCCGCATCGCCTCAGCCGCGGGCCCTGCTGGCCGGGCCGCCTCCTCCCCGCGCGGGCGGGGAGCGCGCGGCCGCCTCCCCCTCCCCCTCCCCCTCTTTCTTCTCCTCCCTCGCCGCCGCCGCCGCCGCCGCCGCCGCCTCAGCCTTCTCCTCAGCCGCCGCCCGCTCCCGCCCGCGCGCGGCGGGATGGACGATCAATCCAGGATGCTGCAGACTCTGGCCGGGGTGAACCTGGCCGGCCACTCGGTGCAGGGGGGCATGGCCCTGCCGCCTCCCCCTCACGGCCACGAAGGGGCGGACGGCGACGGCAGGAAGCAGGACATCGGTGACATCCTTCACCAGATCATGACCATCACCGACCAGAGCTTGGACGAGGCGCAAGCAAAGTTGGTGTCGTCTCATTAAGCATCTTTTGTGTGTGTGCTGGAGCCGGGCCCGCGGTCGAGTCGGGGCCGGGGGTGGCGCCCGGGGCCGCAGCCCCCGTCGGGGAACTTTCTTTGAAAGCCGGCGGCCCGCCCCGGCCTCGAGGGGGACTTGCCCGTGCCCCCCGAAGCGGGCGGGAGTCGGCAAAGTTGCTCTGGGGGGCTCAGGACGGACTCGGTGCGGCGCGGATTCCGTGGCGTCCTTTCCCCCGTCCTGCCCCTCGCAGCCCGGTCCCCTCCCATGGATTTAAACCTCCGCCCCGGACCCCCGTGCGGGCCGCGCCTCCGGGAAGTGCAACTTTCTCCTCCGGCCGGGAGTCCCGGAGCCGACTCCCCGTAGCCGCGGGACGACCTCGCCATGCAGGCGGGCCTCCCGGGCCGGGCGCGGGGCGATGGGCGGTTCCCTGGCGGGTCCGGGTGCGGACGGCCAAGTTCTCGGGAAGGGAGGGCCGCCTTGCAAACTTTGCCGAGCTGTCACCCGCCCGCTGGCCGCAGTCTGCCGGCTGGCCGCGTCGCGCACCCGCTCCCCCTGTACAGGAGCCGTCGCAGGAGCCCCCTCCCCACCCGTCCCCTCCCCTGGTTCACCTCTGCCAGTCCCCGGGGCGATGCTCCCCGAGTGGCTTCGCGTCGCCGTGGCCGAGGCTGCTGCCTGCCGGGCAGATGTGTCCGCCTCGTTCTGGCTGCAGCTTTCGCCGCCGGGACTTACTGGCTGTCGGGAACTAGTCAATTGGAGTTTTTGTTGACTTCCCAGGGTTCAAAAGGGCCTTCCAGAATGGGGAGCCGGAATTAATTCTTGGGTCTAACTTAAAGGAAGGCGCCATATTATTCCATAGGTGATGCTAATACCTTTGTGTTTTGTTATTTGTTTTTTAGGAAACATGCCCTGAACTGTCATAGAATGAAACCCGCGCTCTTCAGCGTCCTGTGTGAGATCAAAGAGAAAACAGGTAAGACGCTGAGCCCCGCAGTGGGCCTGGAGACCCCCGAGGTGGGGGTCGGAGCTACTCCTTCGACTCTCCAGTTGAGAGCTGCTGCTTTTGGGCACCGCCATCTTTGATCATTCTCTCCTTCCCACGTCCTGATCTTGGAAAAAAACTGTTATAAATCTGGAGTCGATTTCTCAGTTCTGCTCCTGGTGTAAAATGAAGTGTAGGTGCGGACCGGGCTGGGTCGCTGTCCCTAGGCGGCCGCCCCAGGCTGCAGGCGGGGAGGGGGTCCGGAGCGCCAGCCGCCCTCTCTCCTCTCCTTTCGCCTTGTTTGTGTGTCAGTTTTTAAAAGGAGCAACGGGAGACTGGATGCCAGCACCGAGTCCCCGGGAGAAGCATTGCCCGAACTTTGTTTTACTTAGACAGTCTTAAGCTTCAGCTGCACGGACAGAGGAATAGATGCAATTGAACAGACCCCGGTAGCATGCTTGAATTAATGTTTTAGGTGGGAAGACTACTTTAGAGAATCGAGGAAGGGTAATGATGTGTAGACATATACAATGTATTACACCTGTTAATACTTTTATTATTTTGTATCCTGAAGTCGTTACACTTGTAACTGTGCTTTTAATATATAAAGTCTATAAAGGTCTACAGATGGCAGGTTAAACAATTTTGAAGTGTTCAGGGAATGTATAAGAAGATAGGTTTTGCAGAAGTGCTAGAATGGAAACTACAGGTAACATATTAAGCAAATTTTTGGCAATTCGTTTCAATTTAACTTTCTTGTCAGACTTTCTTGATAGAAGGTCTTTTAGTCTTGAAGTGAAGTAACTATTCAAATTGAAGTAGAGATTTAATTTGGATGTTTTAGTTTGTATTTGGCATTATCTTCCCTGTATGTGGCAAACAAGTACATTAAACAAGCTCTACTGTTGATTTTTTTCCTGTTCTTTTCTTTCTTTGTGTGTGTGTGTGTGTGTGTGTGTGTGTGTGTGTGTTGAATATTTGGTATTTTAAAGTTGCCATTTTGAAAGTTGAGGCAAAGGAGAAAAAGTTGAAGTCCAGGATTTAGCAGTATCTAAGGGATGCTATTTAAAAGGTTAAATGTGATTGTGTTTAAATTGAGTGTACAAATAGCACAGTGCAAATAATTGTTAGGTTGATAGGTGAGTCAGCCTTCTTTGAAACAGATTTTTCGCTTTTCAGTACTATTTGGATCCTAACAGTAATCAAGAAAAGATAAGTTATTGTAAACCATAATAAACAGCAAATAGTAAGGGAGCCTAAGAGTATTTTTCCTGCTTTTCATTCACATATTATGGCTGGTTTCTTAATGCTCAGTGATGCTTTTTTGAATTACTAACTTTTATTTTGTGCTGATTTTTAGCTACCTTTAGAAAGCATTGTGATTTAAAACAGTAGGTAATTTTTGTCTGACTATAAAATAAGACATCCAGCATTAAGTCTTGAAGATTCTTAGTTTAGAAACTTAAAAGTGTGCAATTCTCAGTAAATTCTGTTGCTTATTGTCCAAGGGTTTTCCTGCTATCAGGGTTCCACTTGAGTTTCTGCTGACAGCTAAGCACAGGGGTATTGACTGTGTTGTGAATATTAAGATTGATTTAACTTTATAACAGCCTTATATTACAAGGGAGAAGGGATGGATACTTATCGCTTCTCATCCCCTTCTCATGATTTATATTTATTTATTTATTTTTGCCTTTTTAAAGTTTTGGCCTAGCTAGCTTGAGAACTAAACCCAGCAAACTGCTTTTCATGTTGAGACATTTAGCAGCAGGCAGAATTCAATTAGAAACATAAGTCCTTTAGTTACTTATTTGCACGGGACTTAGTTATACCATTCTGAAAGGAAAGTATAGTCAACCGCATGTTAAAGGTGAGTTACGAGAAAGAAACAAGTCTTTTCAGAGTCTGGGATTACTGGCAGGGAGAGCTTTGATAGGGCTATTGCTATTTAAAAAGCAAGAGACAGCTGACAAAAGAAATTTTTGTGTTTTAAAATTGTTTCTGGGGCTTTCAGTGATAACTTGTAAATTAGATCCTCTTTTTGTGCTTTGGCCAGTGGATCCACGTTTGCATGTTATCTCTTTTGTAAAAAGCCAACAGCCGACAAAGAGTAAAGGCGGCTGTCTGGGCAGAGGCATCTTCCTGCCAGCCTCTAAGCTCGAGAGGAATGGGATTTAAGTACTGAGTGATTGATAGGGGTGAAGCTGTTTCTCTCCTCTCCTTTCTCCCCAGTACCCATAGCTTCACCTTACTCTCCAAAACTAGTCTTAGAATGAGACAGGGATTCAGAATCTTCATTTTGAAATAAAACAGCTGTGCAGACATTAGTGTTTCCAAAGCAAAGAAGCAGGGCAGCAAATTCCAAGCCCCCCACCCCCTCCTGCCATAGTTATGCTTCAGAAACATGAACTTACAAAAGAAACATTGTAGAATAGTTGGATATTGCATCAATTTTTTTAAAATCATTTCATTTAACCTAATAATACCTGCAGATTAATTCTTTATAATGTAGAGAAAGTTTACATAGTCATTTATGAATAGAACCCAGGAATGTTATGTTGATGACTCTATTCTGCATAATGGGGGCTTGAGGGTAAACTGTCGCTTCAGTGGATAATGTCATTTCAGTTGTGCTTTTCTTCTAAAATAAGACAAAATCATTAAAAAAAAATCCGTTTATTTGTAGATCTGCCAGTAGATTTTGAGGTTTCTGATCAGGCAGTGAACACTGCCAGTTCTGATGCACATGGGGGATTTAGTTTAGAAAACATCTATTCCCTCCCCCCCACCAGATATGAAAAGACATTTTTCCCTTCTGACAGATAAATGGGTCATCTACTACAATTATATTATTTTCTTGTTGAGAGGTAAGGAAAGTATACTTTTACTATAAGATGCTGCTTTTTCTTGAGAATGTATTCTTTCGTAAAATTTATACCATTATTTTTGGGCAGAAATGTCTCTCATTGTTGAATTGTGATACTTGTGCATTTTGAGAGCAACTGAAAAGTTGTAGGCTTTAAAATCAAGATCGTCGTTTATTTTAAACTAAGTAACCAGTGAGATAATTGTTAATATGTTAAGATATTTCCTGATTTTTAAAGCCATGTTTTATCATCTGTCTCTTATTAAATATCCCTGATGCCACAGGGTCTGCTCACCTGCATATCTCTTTTGGTGTTTTCCTGCACCTTTTTTTGGTCACCTTAATCTTAATTGTTGAAGTCCTTTCCTTTGTGAAATATTTCATTCTCAAAAATCTGCCTTCTTTCCAAAGCCCTTAATTATGAAATTTTAAGTGAAGGAAATAGTTCTTTTTCAAGAAAAAATATTTATTTTTAAATGAAATCTAATATTTTAGTAGATAATATGAATCATATTATTGTGACAAATGTTATGCATGAAAAAAATCAACACAACCTTTTCCTTTTTAAACTATAGGTTAAAATACTCTATGTCGATGGCTGCCAACCAAACTCTGATTTATTGCCACCACAAACCCTAAATAGCGTTCATTTACTAGTAATGTCTAATGGCATACATGATGGTTTGCCAGATTTGTAGCCTTTGTGAGGCTTATAAGCAGGACTGACTTGGGAAGATCATAAAACTTAATGAACTTCTCTACTGCAGGAGGTGTCCGCAGGGGAAGAGAAAGGCCTGCTTGGCTGGTTGGGCTGGTTGAAGTATTTTTTATGTTTAAGGAGAAGAAAATGACTAGTAAAAATGCTTTACTTTTAAAGAAACCCTCCCTAGAAACAGTCATAAGAATTTTAGATATTAAAACTAGATCAAGAGTATAGTTTACTAGTGAGGTTTTATATGCATTTAGTATGTGATGTGAGATTAAACCTTTTATCTTTATAGCTATAAGTGTGACTAGCTTTCAAAGAGACAAGGCAGTACTGTCATTCGATACCTCTCTATTTAATTCTGAACCTACAGGTTTAGAGACTCTTTGAGTCTTTCTGGTGTGTTTCTCTTTTTAAGGTTTCAGTATAAAAATCTGTTACATTTTTCTTTGTACTGTGCTGTGTGATTCTTTTTATTCCACACGTGTAAAAACCATTTTTTTCAAGTGAAAATTTAGCAAGAAAGGTGAATATTAGTCTAAATGTTATTAAATATTTTGCGTATGCTTTTAAGTTGTTCTTGTACTATTTTCAATATAATTATCATCATTTGTTTCAAGTTTTAAAAATAAATGCACTGTTCCATACATGATTCTTTTTTGTGTTTTCATGAAACACATTTTGTTTTGATAAACTTATTTTCCAGTTTTTAAAAACTTTTTATTGTAGACAACTTTCAAACATAAATACATGCAGAGAGAAGAGACTTTTGAACCTCCCATGAACTCAGTGCCCATCTTCAGGAATTAGCAACAATTGGCCAGTCTTGTTTTCTCTGTAATTCACCATTCCAAAATAATTTTGAAGCAAATTTTAATGGATCTTTAATGTTTTAAATTTGTATCAATTTTAGACAGGGATTGGATCTGTTTACATTGGAAATAGCAAGTGATTAAATAGGAAAAATGCAAAGGCAATGCAAATTTATAACATTGGAAATGTTATGAATTATGTTGCTTTATCAATATATTTTTCATAAAGCAACTTAAGAATATTTTATCTTTTTTTTTTCCTGTTTTTATAGATTTGATATCTTACTAGAGCTTTTGTAGGAGGTTTTCAGAGAAGTTGTAAAAGAAAGGGATTTTTCTAACTTTCTTTATTTCTCTTCCATCCTAACAAAATAATACATACAGTGTATTTGTAGAAAACCTGTAGAAAAATCTCATTGCCAAGCTGGTTTAAAACTTCGTGATCTAAAGTATCATGTGGATATTATCTTTAAAATGTGGGGACATTTTCCAACCTTGTTCTTTATTTTTTTTTTCTTCCTAATAAAAATATATTGAACTCTCTTGTCAATACTAAGTTGATCTGTGCAAGTAATTCTTTTGTGCCTTGGTTTTAGTGAACTTCATT